CCCCCCCCCCACCTCGTCGCTCCAAGAAACCTTTTTCTTAACGCCCCCGAGTGAGGGTTCCCCCTGCCCATCGTGTATTCAGTCTTTCCACTTGGGGAACTACTGGCATTTTCTTTTGAAAGGAATTCGAGCAAGATACCTTTTTTTTTCTTCTTCTTCTTCTATTGGACATTGACTCGATTGTTTGCAAAAGTTTCACATTAAAACAAACAAACAAACAAACTACCTGATCTGTACTTTGAGAGTGGTTGGTTTCTTCTTTTTTTTTTTTTTCCTTTTTTTGGTACTGTTTTTTTTTTTCCTTTTTTTTTTAAAACTTTTTCCATCTTAAAAAAAAAATGCACTACTGTGTGCTGAGCGCCTTTCTGCTCCTGCATCTGGCCGCGGCCGCGCTCTGCCTGTCTACCTGCAGCACGCTCGACATGGACCAGTTCATGCGCAAAAGGATCGAGGCGATCCGCGGGCAGATCCTGAGCAAGCTGAAGCTCACCAGCCCCCCAGAAGACTACCCCGAGCCCGAGGACGTGCCCCCGGAGGTGATTTCCATCTACAACAGCACCAGGGACTTGCTCAAGGAGAAGGCCAGCCGGAGGGCGGCCGCCTGCGAACGCGAGCGGAGCGACGAGGAGTATTACGCCAAGGAGGTGTACAAGATAGACATGCCGCCCTTCTTCCCCTCGGAAAGTAAGTGCTGTTTTATGGCTTCCATCTCATCTCCCCCCCCCACCCCCGTCCCCCAGGCTTAGCGCTGCCCAAGGCTCTCCAAACGGCCACCACCCCGGGGACCGCCCTGCCCTCTCCGCGTCCCCGCTTGCTCTCGCCCCGCTCCAGTCCCTCGTCCCACCCACCTCCTCGCCACTTGGGTGCTGGAGAACGGTAGGCTTGCAAACGTTGCCTCGCCCCTGTCTTTTCTCCCCGTCTCCCTTCCCCCCGCAACGCCCCTGTCCCTGCTAAGGCGTTCTTCTCTTTTTCAATCGCCTGAACGTTTTTGCTCGGCCGCCAGCTAGAAGCCAGGCAGCCCCTCCTCGGCCACAGGAGGTGCGCTCCCTGGGACTGAGTTCAACTGGGAAACCTTCGTGGGCTGGTTTTCTTGGCCCCGATTGGCCTGAATCCCGCCTGGCGGGTGCACGAAGGGTTAAAAAAAAAAAAAGTGGCTCAAAACTAGCCTCTCCGGAAGGCGCCCCTTTCCGCGCCGACCTATCCGCTGGCTCCCCTCGCCTCCTCTATTGTCTCGAACGCCCCGAAAAATGTCAGCATCGCCAAGACAACCCGATCTGGAGAGACCCCTCGAAAAACCTACCTCCAGACCCCCAAATGCCTGAATCTATTGCCACCGCTAGGTGTTTACATTCCCCAAAGGTCAGCTCTTGTCACCACGGCCCCTTTTGAGTTCACCTGGACTGGTAGAAAAGACAACCTGGTTTCGGACGATGTTTAAAGGGGGTTGACTTCACGTCAGTTTTCAGAATTCACTCAAACCTGCCTTCTTAAACTGGCCGGTGCAGCAGGTCATTTTTCTTATGCGTTTATCTCCGCCCCCCCCCGCCCCCCTTGAGCCCTGTGCTCCTGCAGTTACTTGGGTGCATTCCTAAATCTCAGAGTAGCAGACAGCCGATTTAAAAAACCAAAAAAAAACAAAACTGGCTTCTCCGAAAGCAGTGTCCTCAAAACCAACTGGTATCCGGCTGCAAGCTGAGTGAAATGATTTATTGAGGAGTTGGGGTGGGGGGAAGGATGGAAGAAGACAGTTAGCTGAGAATTATTTCCAAGTTCTTAAAAGGAAAAAGAAAAGAAGCAACCAGTGATACCTGAGAGGGTTAAATACCAGGAAGAAAAAGAAAAAAAAAAAAACCTTCAACATTTGCGGCGTCCAAACCCCAAGTTGTAAACTTTTCATTGGTCGCCTGTGTCTCTCCTCCCCTTTGCATGCCCTATATACTTGCTTACTGCCTTCACAGAGTCTCTGTCTTGCCTAAATAGATAACGTGGCCATCTCCATAATTTTATCCTAGACGTACGTTCTCAGTGTAGGGTAGAGCTTTTCTTTTTTAATATTTATTTTTAGTTCGACAAGTCGCGGCTCTGTGGCTTGCCATGTCTCCTACTTGATGCTCTCTGCATGTCAGCCCATTGTAGCTGACCCCAGTCTTCCTGGCCACCTTTTCCTGCAGCTTCTCCTCTTCAAGTTCAAGAGCAGAGCAGGGTTGCAGGAGATCCTGGCAAGCAGGATGCTTTTATTATTGTAATTATGGCACCATCCACCACAGTGGTGATAAATACACTCCACCCTGGTTATTCCCTGCGGGAAGTAAAGCTTTCTACCTGGGGTGGAGCCAAGCGAATATTAGGCAAGAAAGTTCATTGCCATTACAAAACCATTGAGACCAAATGGGGTTGAGTCAGTTTGCTTTCTCTAGCACGTGCATCTATTCTACTGGTATTTGAGTAGACAGGCTAGTGTGTTACATGGAACCTGAACAGGTCACCCCTTTCGTGTTTACCTGCAAAAAAAGCCAGCACTTTTGAACATACTGGAGGCCTGACCTCATCCTCAGGTAGCTAGGGAGAGAGCAAGTTACCCAAGAGGGCGTTAATTCTTTGTTCTGTCAAGCATATTTTAGCCCAAAGGGCTGAGACGATCAAACGCAAAATCGTGGTCATTACCAAACTGGAAACATTCTCTGTGTATTAGGATTTCAGCGGATGGCATCTAAGATCAGTGTGTGGATTCTTTTCCCCTATCCCACCCCTGAATAAATGAAAACTTCTAGTAAATCCAGTATAAAAAAATATACATCAGTTTTCATACAAAGAATACAGGCTTCTTCAAGACTGTATTGTGTATGGATGCTTAGGAGCAGAAAGTCATATTCATAGCAGATTTGATCCGACTGTGCAAGGACTGTGGATAATTTTATAGAAAGTCGGTTAACTGATTTTTCCAGCACTTTCTAGTTGTACTGGAATATAGTAAACCCTCCCCCCAAAATGTAAATAAATAAATAAATAAATAAATAAATAAATAAATAAATAAATAAATAAATGGTAGAAAAGAGAAAAATCACTCCGCCATATTTTTAAAGTGTAAACTGAAAGTGGAGTGTTGGCTCATGTGCCAACTTTCCCTCTTGAGGACTTAGCAGTGGCTGTGGGGAGGGAGTGTGCCTGTCATTTCTTGTGAATCCTGCGGGGGTCATAAGCCTCAGAGATGAAGGCATGGGGATGATCACTGGTTCATTTTTTACCACCAGCTTGTTAGCGTTCAGGGAGTGACTTCAGCTCAAATATTACAGATATGCTCTAATTATAGTCAATGAGTTATATATCAGTACACATTGCTGATAGCCCTTTGTGGGACATTTTATACAGTTCAGACTACATATTTTTAGCAATATGGAGGTTTAAAAGTAAAAATATAAGAGATATTGTATATGCCTTCAGGCATATTTTGTCTTAAATATTATCCTTGGCCCAGCGCACTATATAAATACAGTAAATATGAATAGAACTGGCCAGTTGCCAATCTCCTAGGATGAATTTTAGTCAAGAAAGGTATTTATGGGATATAAATAATACTGTGTCAACATTTAAAGAAGAGGTTTGATTAGTTTTGAGTTTATTCATATTGATCTTTTCACATGCTGTTAGTTTAAGGCTCAAAGTGAAGTTATGCTAAGGTTTACCGATAGCTTACCCAGTGGGACTTGGTGGATTTCTAGCCCTTTTGACGATCCATTTGAAGTTCAAGGCACATCTATTTAAAAGACACTGCACAAAGCTTTAGACATTTAGAAAGATCAATTCCTGTAACTAGAGTAAGATGTCAAGCGATGGACCATTGACACCTGTGGAGGCTTGGAGAATCAAAAAAAGGAAGGGACAAAAAGCTTCATTTTCTCGCTTTCCTCTACCTTTTTCTTTGCAACAAATCGGGCACTCGTAGTGGTTCTTATCTGTGGTGGTTTCACACACGCCTCGCCCCCACCCCCAGAGATGATTTGGGAATGTCGAGAGGTTTCTGGTTGTCCTGACTGGGAGTGGAGGGGTGCTACTAGCATTTAGTGAGCAGAGGTGTTGCTAACCATCCTAGAATGCACAGGACAGCCCCCCCACACACACACACATACACACAGACTTCCCACCCCCCAAAGAATTATCCAGCCCATAATGTCAGTAATTTCCATGTTGAGAAGTCCTGGTACCCCTGGTATTTATTTTGGGTTACTAAATTCTGCTGCACCATTTTAAAAGTCATCACCTACCAATAAAATATCTTTATAATAAAAACATTAGAATAGTATTGAATAGAAAGATCATCAGAAAGTTATCTTAATTAAATGGGAGTATGAATCGGACCATTATATACAGTATGTACTTTACTATGATGATCTTACAGCCCGTAAATTAGAGGCATCCAAAGGTCCCCATTCATGCAGCCAAAGTAATATTGTGGCCCCACCCATCAGCAACTTGAGTCAGCAGCAATGGGATGTTAGTCAGAACAAAGAGAAAAAGAAGTGAGGAATTATCTTGGCTTTTTTTTGCCAGGAAAATAAGCAATCCATGTTAATGAGGAGTGGACTCTGTAAGCTAGGCCACCGAAGAAAGTAAATAATCGTGCCGGTTTATGCTATCGTATTGAATTAGATAAACTAAAATAGACAGCTTGAAACATCACAGGGAGGTTTCCTTTATCGTTGCTTCACATGAATGTTAAACGTTTCATACCAAACAATGTCCTTTTCGATTTTGTCTGCAATTTTCCAAGTGAAATTGCAAAGTGTAGAGTGCATACCAGTAGCACTATGTTTTTTTTGGGGGGGGGGGCAATGTTACTTAAGATTCTGTTCATGGGTACGTCTTTCTGCGTGCAAATTGCTGGACTGTTGGCCAATTGCCCAACGAAGGGGAAATATTAGCTGTTGCTGGAACAGTAACAGTTCCAGCAACGGCTAGTATGTTGCTTGATGTTCAGGAATTTTATTTTTTAAGATTCCCTGTGTGTGGGTGTGTGAGAAAGAGAAACCGAGAGAGAAAGAGAGAGAGAGAGATCAAAGACGGACTGGAATCCCTTGACTTCCACAATGATTGAGTTATTAATACGCAACAGACCCTGTTTAATTCCTGCCCTTTTTATTGCATCATTGCTTGTACTAACTCTAGTGCCTAATTGTGGTTACACGTAAGTAACCTAGGCCACATTCTCCATCAGGATTTCCTCTCCTTCCTTTCTTTTACTTTTCAAGGACTAAGAAAAACCCTCAAAGAAATATACTGTTTATAACTGAAGCGATTGGGCAGTCTTTGTTGCCAAGAGAGGCCAGCCTGCTGACAGTCTCTGTTGAGGCCTCCCACCCCCATGGAGGCAGGGCTTTCCAAAGCTGGAGAGGCAGGTGGGGACCACTTGACCTCCGGGAGGAACCTGGAGCCTTCTGTGTCTCCACAGCGACCCCTGGGGTGGACTCCAGGAGCTGCACTTTTTGAACTGACTTACCCCGGGTGAAAACACACTGATGATGTAACTTAGTCGCGGAGTCTTTCATATAAAGATATGAAACAATGACAGATCATTTTTCCTAGAGGAAATGGAGATGTAAAAAAAAAACAAAGGGCTAGTGACTCACTGTTGATCCCATGTCAAATCTGGGCTAGAAACGAGGAGGTCACCGACTCCTAGGCCTTTG